GACTGTGATACGCCCTGTGACGTGGTGGGGGCGCCCTGTCAGGGAGTGGGGATGCCCTGTGAAGTGGGGACTGTGGTCTCCATGCAGAGACCCTGGCTGCCGCCCGCTCCCTGATCTCAAGCTCATTTGCTGCTGCTGTTTCCTCACCCGCTTCCTGCACATCCTTATGAGCAAGAAGGTCAAAAAGCAGGTCACCCCATAAAGCCAGGGCACCCTAGCAGCCCGTGAACCACCGTCCGCCCACAAGCCTGACTCACGCCTGCTTCTGGCCAAGCAGCTGGCTCCAGACCTCCACCACGAAGCCGTCAAAGTGCTGGTTCTGGGGAGCAGCCAGTTGAGGGCAGCACCCAGGAAAGCAGGGGGAGCAGAGACGTCACTGGCCGCTCCTCCACCCAGCCTGTGCCCCACCATGGGCCCCCTCCTGCCAGCCAAAGAGGCTCCCTCCTGCTGACTGTACCCCACCAAGGGCCCCTCCTACCAGAATGCACCGCACCAAGGGGACCCTGACCACAGCCCAGACCCAACAAGGTGGCCGGCATGGCCAAGGCCTGCTCAGGTCCTTGCCTGTGCCTGGCCCGATGTAAGCATGGCCCCACTGCTAGGGTCTGCAGGCCCTGGCACCAGCCCTGGGCCTTCAGTTCCCACCTTCGCGACCTGGACCAAGGCCTTGCTGAGCTCTTCGATCTCATCCTCATCGTCTAGGACACTCCTGAAGTCGTCATATGTCCAGTCCTCAAACAAAAGCCGAGGCACTGGGGGGCAGAGACCATTATCACATGCACTGACAGGGACACAGCATGTGAACCTTGGGCTGACCTGTCCCCACTGCAGGATTTCCCACCAAGTCAGCAAGGCCAGAGACAGGGCCTTGTCGGAGGAGGCAGTGTGTGCAGGCCTCTTCCTTAGGGTCAGTCTGGAAGTGGGGGCAGTCGTGGGACCTCTCCCTCCCTAGCAAAGTCTCTGCAGGATCCCAGCATCTCCATGACCTCTGGGGACCTCTCACCCTGTGCTTGTCCAGAGGCCAGAATCCCACCTGAATGACCTGGGCCCATGGGCCCCTTAGACACAGGTGTCATGCCCACTCCAGTGGGAGGCCTGCCTGGCCAGGGCCCACTAACTCACCGATGTGCAGGCCCCTGGCATTCTTCCGGACCACCCGCATCCACCCTAGGGACAGGCAGAAGTCATCATTGGTCACAGCCATTACTACACAGGGAGTGGACACAGCAGCATGTGACACAGACAGTGACAGGGACGAGTCACGCGGACACTGTCAACTATACAGCCATGTAGACATCAGTGGTCAGAGAGGCCCGCTCCCAGCCCCATGGCCTGTTCCCACTCAGACTGTACGACTCCCCCAAGCCCAGAGGGCTCACACTGCGCACAGCCCCACACAGCCTGCAGCTGGCCACAGGCAATGTGCACAGCCAGGTACTCGCTTGTCCACCATCATCTCCAACACTGTCCACACAGCAAATATCCACACTCACCTTCCATGACCCACGTGCTCACACTTCACACCCAGAGCACATCCACGTGCTCACACCCGCCCAGTACCCAGCAGACTCATTTACCCTCATCCACACTCAGAAAGTCACCCTCATACCTACACGGCACACGCATTCATACACTATCCGCACACCCACACACCTGCATTGACGGAGAGCACACTCACACAGTCTCTGCCTCACAGACATACAATAGCACACACTCCTTGGCCCCAGCACCCACGCCATGAGCAGAGCGAGGACCTTGGTCCACATCATGGAGGCCTGTGACCTCAAACATCTCCCGGCCACGTCTCTTTAGCTGCAGCCAGACCGGTGACACCTGCGTGAACTTGTTCCCGAATGTCTTGGCAACATCATAGCCGTGGCTGTTCCACTGGGGGAAGATACAGGACCAGGGTAAGTGCCACCCTGTTCTGCTGCCAGGGGACAGCCCTGAGCACACAGGGACGTGGTCACAGCACGCTGCCCCTCCGAGGATACACACTGGGGCTTCACTGAGGGCTCTCTGGGTATAAATACTCTTCTCTCAAGCCCCAGACCTGGCCCAGCACCCACACAAGAGCCTTTTGTGCAAGTGTAGCCCCACAGAACTGGCCCTCAGTGCACCCACCTGCCCTCTCTACAAAGGCCTCCATCACGGTATCCCTGCAGCAGGGGTGACCAGTAGACAGCACACACCTGGTACCTGTGTGTGTACCGCACCCTCTCCAGCACCACTCACTGGGCCAACGTGCTCACTCACAAGTGTGGTGAAGTCTGGCACAGTCCCCCACCCCCACCCCACCACCTCACCCAACTCTCAGCATGGCCCCCACCCCATCACCTCACACAGCCTGGCACGACTACTACCCTGGCACAGCTCCCAACCTACCACCTCGCCAAGCCCAGCATGGTCCTCACCCCGGCATGGCCCTCATCCAACCTGGCATGGCCCCCATCCCACCACCTCGCCCACCCTGGCATGGCCCCACCCCAGCACCCCCCAACTGGCACGGCCCCCATTCCCACACGACCCCCTGCTCCCGTACTACCCCCACCCAGCACTGCTCCTGCAGACCACAGGCCCGCTCACCGGGGTGATGTAGCCCAGCACAGGCCCAGTGAAGTAGCGCTCCCTGGCCTGAGCTGCACAGTAGCTGCGGTGCTCCTGGACCACGTCCTCAGCCCGGGGGTCTGTGCTCACCAGGGCACGCTCCTGCACAGGCCTGTCTGCAAGCTGCGTCTGGAAGCAAAGGACACTGCTGTGGTCACTAGTGCCAGGCAGAGCCAAGCTCTTCTCCCCGTGCAAACATGATCTCAACATCTGCACAGTGGGCCACCGACCCCTCCCAATGTGCTCGGAAGGACCCTCCCCTCAGGCCCTCCTGTACTACCCAGGGCTGGGGACAGGCTGGGACGTCTTGTCCATCAGTACCCAAGCCATGCAGCGCCACCAGCATTGAGGGACGTGTGCACAGGGACCTCTAGCCTCTCAAAAGCCCGCTGGTTTCCGGGGTCATCCCAGCACAGCTCAAAATGGCTCCATGCTCAGCCCTTGGGGTGCAGACCCAGCAGTGATGAGGGGGACATGGGTGTGAAGTCGACAGGACACAGACTGGGCAGCCCACCGGGTGGCCATCACTTGGAAGGCGTGAGGGTTCAGCACCTCTGCCAGGCCCACCTTCTCCAGCAGCGTTTTTGAGGCAGCTTTCTTGGCATCTGACTTGGACAAGGTGGCATGAAGGAGGTCGCAGAGCAGGGCTAGGCCCAGCACAGGGAGGAGAAGTCTCGTGGTGGAGGTCATCGCAGAGTCCTTCCTTGGCCTCCAGGGGGCTGCAGAGAGAGCAAAGCACAGCCTTCACAGACCTCACCCTGCAATGGGGGCCAGGGCCAATCCCTCCCAGGGCCGCGTGTCCATCCGGCCTGTGCATGGCCCTGAGGGTCGTGTCCACTCAGTCCCAAGAGGAGACCAGCACAGGCCGTCCTTCAGAGGCACACCATCCACCCCCTGGAGGGACGTTGGGAGAGGTAGCCCCTCTCCCAGGCGGAGGAGGACTTGGTACAGCCCACAAAGCCAGTGAGTTTGCCAGTGGACTGGGGGTGCTGCAATATGGGGGCTCAGCCGGTGAGGGGTCCCCAGTTCCCAGCAGATCATGACAGAAAGCACCAACAGCATGTGCAACATAAAATGATCAAGTCTTCCTTTGGAGGAGAATTCAAGACCAGCTACAAGTCTGAACAAAACCATGGCTGGCGACCTCAGCCTGCTGTGATGCCCTGTCCCAGCTGTACCTGCCAGAAAGCAGGAAGGTCAAGAAAGACGCAGCCCTGATGCCCACGGCCAGTGGCGGCGGGTCGGCAGGAAAGAAGAGAAAGACTGTCTCCCCGTCTCTGCCAGACACCCTGGGGCAGACGGAATGACACGTGGCACCAGGGGGTAGGGCCAACTTCGTGCAGGCCTCAGCCTCTACCTTATACAGAATGTGGGCCCATCCGCGTCGATGGAGATGGAGCCCCTTGGGAAAGCCCTCCTGGGGGATGCCTGGTGGGGGGCTTTCCACACAGTCCCCCATGGCCACTGGGCGCACGGCTCCACAAACGTGGATGAGTGCAAGGACCTGTCCAAGCCTTTCTTGGAGTGAGCCAACAGGATTCTGCTCCCAGACAGAGTGGGCTGGGACCTTCCTGCCATGGGAAGCAGACCGGAATCCTATATCAGTGTGCCTGGAAACAGAGGGAAACCACATCCTTCCACCCCACGAGAGGCCAGGGAGTCTGGTGCATCTGCGGGCAAGACCCAGGAAGTGAGTGAGAAGCTGGCACTTGCACCCACCTGGACGAGAGCAGAGAAGGGGGCGGGCTTTGAGACCACACACAAAGCACAACCTGGCCCTCGGAGCTGGACCCCGCGGCTGGAGCGTACGTGTGCCAGGCAGCACAGAGCCAAGCATGTGGGCGCAGAGCAGGGTGGTGACCCCGGGCTGCAGCCGCCGACGACTCTCACAACCCAGAAAGGTAACTCCCTAAACACCGGCAGTCTGCTCCTGAAGACAAGAGCAGGTCACAACCACGGCCACACGCCCCTACTAGCCACACGCACTGGCCAAAAATGCGGCGGTTCCTCTGAGTGACAACAGCTCATGGTGGGCAGAGGGGACAAGATCCAGGATGAGCCACCTCGGGACAAGCAGGGAGGTCATTTGTACACGCGTGTGCTCACACCAAGGACTGCTGGGTCAGCCCAGAGCTTGCCTGTGGAAAGCTTGACAGCTTTGAGATATGAGAGCTGAGCTGACAAAGGGCTGGGATAGGCAAGCCCCCACAGCACAGGCCCACTGACAGAGGAGGGAGGGAAACGACAGGACAAGGGTGATACCCTCAGGACGTGCCAGCACGAAGCGCCAGTGAAGGCACCCCTGCCCTCACCCACGGCTGCAGCTTCGGACCTCGTCAGTGACATGTGACCACAGGTGGAGGGAAGGCGGCCCAGGTGGCACCTGACAGCTGGGGCACAAGACCACCTCCACCTACTGGCCAGCACTGGGGTGACCTCAAATGTGGTGGTGCGAGGTGCTGAGGCTGGTCCCACAGACCGCACAACACACAGCAGGCAGGGACGTGACAGTGTGCTGGGCCGAGTGAGGTGTCCCCTCCAACAGGTCATCCTGGGAAATGGTACAGCCTCCGAGTGGCCACCTGGACGAGTACTCCGACCACAAAGTAGAGGGCACCAAAACAACTATGAGATATCATCTCACCCAGTCAGAATAGCAAAATTTAACAGAACAGCAAGCAACAAATGCTGGCGAGGTTGTGGAGAAACTGGAACCCTTATTCACTGTTGGTGGAAGTGTAAAATGGTGCAGCCACTATGGAAGGCAGCTTTCTCAAAAAGTTGCAAATAGAAATACCATTTGACCCAGCAATTCCACTACTAGGAATACACCCTAAAGCCCATAACTGACATCCAAGCAGATATATGCACACCCATGTTTATTGGGGCTTTGTTCATAATAGCAAGGAGTTGGAAACAAACCAAGTGCTCATCAACAAACGAACGGATCGAGCAGCTGTGGTATATTCACACAATGGAATACTACGCTGAATTGAAAAACAAGGAACTCATGCAATATTACTCAAAATGGGTGACCCTGGAGGCCATTATGCTGAGTGAAGTATCTCAGCCACAAAAGGACAAATACTGCATGGTGCCACTGTTGTAGAATGAGACTGACATCAGGGTTGGGTTAAGACTGAAAAAAACTGGATGAATTATGTCTACTGCACTGAAACAGATGAGGGAAAGAACACTTTAAAAGCGATATATGATAGGCTTTGAGGTTATCAGAAGAGTCCAGAATTAAGGTTGCATAGAGGAATGTACTCAGGGCAGTGGGGGGTGGGGGATGTGGGGGGATTGTGTACCAATGAAAGAATTTTTCTTTTACTTTTCAAAGAGAGGAGCAAACTGGGGGGGAGGGGTGGGCAGGGAGAAAAGTGCAACAATGAACGAATGAAAATCCAAAATCTCTGTAAATCTTCATGAAAATTAGTAAAATTTTCAAAAAAGGGGAAAAAAAACCCCAAAACAAAAACAAAGCAGAAGGCAGACCTGCTCACTCACTCGGGAAGGGTCTGTTAGGACACGCAGGGCCAAGAGTGCCAGCGCTCCAGGCTCCTCGCCACCACAGCTCACTTCTGCACAGTCCTTGTGGACGGATAGCTAGTGCTAGTGGCTTGCGGCCCTGAAGTGGCCTTAAACATATCCGACCAAGGACCAGAGCAGAGCTGCACCCTACCCCCTACCCTGGCATACATGTGGGTTGTGTGTGCATGCATGTGAGGCGTGGGCTTGTCACGTGACTTGCACGTTTATGGTATATGCACACCACATCACGTGCAGATGTGCAGTGCGTCTGAACAAGCACACATGTGTTGTGTGCACACCACGTGCAGACACGACTGGGTGTAAATGCATGATGCATGCACTGTTTTCCAGCCTTCTCTCTCCTTTTCAAGCAGCTGGCTCTTATGTCACCAGTCAGCTCACGATGGGGACAGGGTCTGCATGTTCCATCATCAGGCTCCAGGGCCTTCTTGTCAATAATCATGTGGCTTCTACACTGAGCGTCCCAATCAGTTACACACTGTCACCTTTGTGTCTGCACAGTGCAATGCTTGGAAAGGAGGTGCCATGAGCCAGGAGTGTCACATCACACTGGTGATGCTGACTGACCACCAGATGCTTGCACCAATGGCACTGTCCAGTCTTGTCACAGCCACAGGAGATAGGCTATCACACTGTCCACAGGCAAGGGAGTCCAGGCCCAGAGCCCCTCAGCACAGGGCTCAGGGCCCATGTGTGGCCTGCAGCACAGGGGAAGCAAGCCCCTGGCCCACTCTGCCCCCTCACCTCACCACCTCCTGACCTGCGCAGGTGGGAAGACCACTCACGTTCTAATCCAGAAATCCCCCCTCCCTGGGGCTGCAGCGAGGTGGGACCGGTGTCCTCCACCTGAGGGCCAGCACTTCGTTCCACAGGCAGCCAGCAGCCACGATGCCCGCCACCACACTGACTACACGGGCAGCCAGTGGCCACCATTCCCACCACCACACTGACTGCGCGGGCAGCCAGTGGCCACCATGCCCGCCACCACACTGGCCGCGCAGGCAGCCAGCGGCCACCTTGCCCGCCACCACACTGACTACACGGGCAGCCAGTGGCCACCATGCCCGCCACCACACTGACCACATGGGCAGCCAGCGGCCACCATGCCCGCCACCACACTGACTGCGTTCACCCCCAGGGACAACTGTGCACTTGCTCACACTGTGTCCCTCATGCTCATTCTACACTCATATCCTCACCTTTTCTAGTCTTGCTTATGTGTATTCACACTTCCACACTCGCTGTTCACAGTCACACTTGTCTGTATTCGCACGAGCCCTCATCCATGATCCCTTATGTTCCATACTCACTCGTTTACTCACCTACACCCCTTGGCATCCATGTACACGTGTGTCCACTCTCACTGCAGGCCCCACTCGCTGTGATCACACAGTCTCCTGCCACAGTGCACGTGGTGTACACACTTATTCTTGCTCACTGGCATCTACGCACATACTCATTTGTTCATGTTTGCCAGGGTCCAAATGCACATTCACTCATCCATTTGCTGCAGAATACACACACATCCACGTTCACTGTGCACCACGCACTCACACTTGCTCGTCTACACTCCCTGGGGCAGACACACATGTCCACGTTTGCTGTGGAACAAGCACACACAGACATACACTAATCTACACTCACTGGGGAACACACACACTCATCCACATACACTATAACACTTATCAGCACTCATACTCTGTGGTCACATCCATCCACACTTGCTGGGGAACACACACACTCGTCCACATGCATTGTGTGTATCACACTCATTCACGCTTACTGGGGCACATATAATCACTCACACTTGCTGGGAAGTACACATACATTCACTTATCCACACTCACTGTGGCAGACACTCTCACGTGTCCACAGTTGTTGGGACCACGTACGTGCACACACTCACTCTCGTTCACTGGGAAACATGCACACACTTACTTGAGGATGCTCCAAGTGGTAGACACTCTCATCCATGGTGGCTGGGGACCATGTTCACACAACTGTCCACACTCAGCAGAGACCACACACGCTTGCACACTTGTCACACTCACTGGGGCACAAGCATGCACACTTGGGGAACATGCATGCATGCTTACTTGTCCACACTGGCTTTGGTAGGCACACACAATTGTCGG